CCACCCAGCTGATAGGATGAGACCCAGGAGACAGCATTTCTGGCTAGCCTTAGCAGAGAGAAGGAGGGCCCTGGCGAGTGCTGATCTCAAGTCTCTCCCACAAAGCTGATCGGTTTTATTTTCAGTGTCAGTCAGTGCTCCCCTGAGACATTTCAATTGCTCTTGATGGAAATCAGAGGAAGTATTATTGTACATATCTCTGCTTCTCAATCTTTTTTTCTTGAAAGTCAATGGATCCTGGGGATCCTACCTAGCTCTCCATACAATTTTGACCCCCGATGTGGCCCTCGGGCCGAAAAATTTGCCCACCCCTGCATTAGGTGTTCTCATCTCTCCCGCCTATTTTAATCTCATTTCTAAATTGTGTGCAGTATAGACTAAGCTTATGTTGTCTCACTGGTTGTATTTTGGAAACATTGTAACTCTGCGCTGACATTTTCTAAACAATTTTAAAAAATGGTTTGCATTAATACAGTATTAAAATACCATTGACGTGATGGCAAGCAGTTCACAGCCATGGAAACGAAAGGCATGGACAGCCAAAGAAAAACTGGAAGCTTTGGACAGACTGAAATCAGGAATGAGTCAAGCGAAGGTCTCAAAAGAACTAGGAGTGGGGGAATCAACATTAAGAGGGTGGATCAAAGCTGTGGAAAAATTACGGTCAGTGGTAGTTGAACTGGATGAAAGTGAAGGCCTGGAAAGGAAGCGCCTAAGAATTGCCCTGGATAACCAACTAGATAGAGCAGTATTTACGTGGTTTACCCAAGAACGCTCCGAAGGCACGCCAATTTCCGGTGACATTATAAGGAAACAAGCGGAGAAATTGAAGAAGGATCTCAATTTCAGACGCTCGGGCAAGGACGCTTCTGCACATCAAGGTAACAAATTTAAAGCTAGCAGTGGATGGCTTAATCGTTTTAAAAAGCGTCATAGCATTCGGCAAGTTGCAATTTCAGGAGAGACGCGCTCCGCAGATATAAAAGCTTGCGACGGATACCCGCTAAAGTTACAAGAGATCATCATTGAGGGTGGCTATGCTCCGGAGTAAATCTATAACGCTAATGAAACTTACTTATGTTACTGTATGCTGCCGGATAGAACACTTGCTTCTAGGACCGAAGAACAAAAGGCCAAAGGTTTTAAGGTGATAAAAGAGAGAGTGACAATACTTTTCTGCGTGAATAAAACTGGTTCACATAAACTTAAACCTCTGTGCATAGGCAAATCCAGGTCTCCTAGGGCTTTCCACCATAAGAACATGGATTCGCTTTCATTCATTTATCGCCATTCAAAAAATGCCTGGATGACATCAGATATTTTTGAGGAATGGTTTAAGATATATTTTGTACCAGCTGTCTGGAGCCACCTATGCAGACAAAATCTGGAGCCAAAGGCATTGCTCCTACTTGACAACTGTCCTGCCCACCCCCCAGTTGAGACCTTAACCAGCAAAGACGGGAAGATAAAGGTGAGCTACCTTCCTAAGAATATGACGTCCAAAATACAGCCCCTCGATCAAGGCATTATAGCCACATTTAAAATGAACTATCGTAAAGCCTTAGTAAAGAAAATTGTTGAGGACAATAGTAGCATAACGGATGTAATCAAGAAATTGAATTTGCTGGATGTATTTAACTTAGGAGAGACAGCCTGGCTAGGAATCACTCCATCAACAATAGAGAAATGTTGGCATCGTGGTCTCAAAAGTGCTGTTGTCACTGAAAGCGACGACAACCAAGATGAGGAAGAAGAAGAAGATAACAACTTTGAAGGTTTTATGGAAGAAGAGGCCATGGAGGCAGAATGAGTCTACAGGGAACTTATGGCTCAAAGTGGGATAGCTGATGTTCAAGAGTGGATGGAGGTGGATGCTATGTGTCCAACCTATGAACGACTTACAGATGTAGATATAATTCATAATGTTGCCCCTCAACCACCTGGTGCCTCAGAAAATGTGTCTAACCCTGAGGATAGTGACGAAGAACCCTTGGATCCATCGCCCAAAGCTGCTGATGCGGTTGTAGGGTTAGAGATTGGTCTTAAGTGGCTAGAAAGCCAGGATGTGGATAGACTGCAAATACTGCAGTTAAAATCCATAATTGACCTGGCGAAGAAGAAAGCTCGCAGTAGCATGAAGTAACAAAGTATAGCAAGTTTTTTTTTTAATTAAAAAGTTAAGGGGTGCATCTTAAATAAGAAAGCATCTTGTACCCCCAAAAAAGTTTTCAGACTATAGTGTATTTAATAGTTAACAGTTCATATTGCGTAACAATCTACGTATAACATAGTTGGCTAAGTGACAAAGTGGCCCATGCTCCTATTTGCTAAAATACCAAAATCCTTTTTTACAACAATTTGTAAGGATGTTTAATTAGAAGTTTTCTGATATTTTATGTGAATTTTGCATTTTCCTAAGCATTACACACAGACCAAACAATTGATGTATGATGAAACCTAGCCCACATGGTTGCATTTAGCAGTGTTTAGTACCTGTGTTGTTAATACACTGTATCTTTTAAGTAAGCTTATAAAATAATTGTTGTAATTAAAGAAAGGAGATACAATTTAACCATTGTAGAACAGATTTATTTACTGCATACACTGTGTTAGTTCTAACAAAAATGATTTGCTGACTATTAATAACGGAAAAGCTCGAGGCCAAAGCAAGTTCGATATAACGCGGTTTCACCTATAACACGGTAAGATTTTTTTTTTGGCTCCCGAGGACAGCGTTCTTTCGAGGTAGTGGTGTAGTTTGCTGTGACAATTTTATACTTTTATTTCTGATTTTGTAAGCAAGAAGTTTTTAAGTGAGGTGGAAACTTGGGGTAGGCAAGACAAATCAGTCCAGAAAGAGGTTCAGTAGTCTGGAAAGGTTGAGGGCCACTGCTCTACTCCATCCAGCAAATGAAAGCATCCAGACATCCAACAGAAGTTAGTCGTTGTTGTTTTCCAGTTGTGCATGCATGTTCAACGTCCAGTACCGAACTGTAGTTGGGACCCAGGTACAGGTTTGTTATAGACTAAGATTTGTAATTATGATATAGTGAGGTGTAACCTTCTACAATCCTCATAATTATAATGCATCTGAAAATATAGTTATGATTTTTATAGTCTCCCACCAGAGTCACCCTTGTTCCTTGCAGCTACAGAAAACAAATGGGCCAGCCTGAAGGGTGGTGAACTAGGACTAGGGTGAGTTCCCAAGCTATGGGGCTCTCATGAAACCATGCCTGCTCCCTCTAGTCTCTTCTGAGCAGGGCTCCAGCTCTTGCTGATTGCATTGTGGCAATGTGGCTAGGACATTTGAAGCTTTATAAATCTGACTGGCTCATTGGGTTAGACATGGATTTAAATGGCTGATAGTATTACCATACAGGAAGTACTTTTTCTAAGACAAGAATAGTATGTTGTGTATGCTTAAGGAAGAGAAAGAGACTAGGTGTATGGGCAATATATATATTTTTTTAAATTGGACCAACTTCTGTAAATGAGAGAGACAAGCTTTCGAGCTTACACAGAGCTGCTCTTCAGGTTTAGGAAATCTACTCAGAGTGACACTGAGGAAGAGCTCTGTGTAAGCTCTACAGCCTCTCTTTCTCTCACCAACAGAAGTTGATCCAATAAAAAATATTACCTCACCCACCTTTTCTCTCATATCCTGGGATTGACATGACTACACTAACACTGTGTTAAGTTAGTTTAATGTCTGTGATTGGTACAATGCAGAAGGTCTCGGTTTGGTTCGAGAGTTTGATTTCTTGCCCTTTAGGCCTGTAGGGAGCAAAAGTATTGTAGTACTCCATGCTCGGCCTATTGCATTTTTTTAAAATTTGCTTTGCCGTTTTAAATCAGCTTTAGCTTTACATTCTGTGGTAGGGGATGTCAGTACATTGCATGCTGCAGTTTCTTGGGAAGCATGAGGTATTAATTTTGTGGCAAAACTGAACATTGTAAATCTGGGGAAGAAGGGAGAGTAAAATAAAGGGAACCTCTTACATTCCAGTGTAGAGAAACAAAGGAAGCAAACCCAGTATTAAAAAAAAAAAAAAAAAAAAAAAGGCAGGCTGTTTTTAAGCATTTTGAATTATGAGCTGAAGTAAAAACTGCTTTTCACGTGCATTTGAGAATAGTATCAGTTTCTTGATTTGAATAGTGTTTTTCAGTGTGGAGGAAAAAATTCATTGTTCTTTTTATAAAGCTGCCTAGAGGCAAATATTTTCTCTAGCTAAAGAAACAAATAACAGAGTGGAGTGATGAAATAATGCTAATCTATCTTGTTGATGTTTTAATGGGCATGATCTTTTAATGCTCCAAGCCTCCTTTGGAGATGGCAAGGAGACCATGTATAACAAGTTAAGATTTTGTTTTCAATGTCTACACTACCACTTATGTCGGCATAACTTACGTCACTTAGGTTAGGGTAACTTCTGTCGCTCAGGGGGCTGGCTTATTCATACCCCTAAGTGCCAGTGTGAACAGTGCTATGTCAGATGAAGAATTTCTCCCGCTGACATAGCTACTGCTGCTTGTTGGGGTTGGATTAATTAAGTCAATGGTAGAGCTCTATCCTGTTGTCTTAGAGCGGCTACACTAGAGAGCTTATAGTGGTGCAGCTGCATTGGTGCAGCTATGCCACTATAAACTCTCTAGTGTAGTCATAGCCTCAGTGTTCGACTGAATGAGAGTGGCTTCTGTTCTTTATCAACAATAATTATTTTATGCAGCTTGGTATAAACCTTTCAAGTGGTGCATCTAGAGTAAAATAGCAAAGTTTAGATTTTTTTTTGCAATATACAAAGTAAAATGTACTGTGTGTGCTAAATGAACAATCATATACTCTACACATATTGGACTGTTAGATCTACTGAGAGCTATTAGTAGTTTTCTTTTTAAAAATCCGTTTCATGAACTCAGAATTGTTGTTTGATCCTATAATTATTTCTTCTGTTTAAGTACTTTAAATAATTCATTGGCCTAACCTTACTCTTTTTCAGTGTAGAGATTGGTGAAAGTGTGAGAGGGGAAGATGTGTATATCATCCAGAGTGGCTGTGGAGAAATCAATGATAACTTGATGGAACTTCTAATAATGATCAATGCTTGCAAGATTGCATCATCGTCCAGAGTGACTGCAGTAATTCCATGTTTTCCATATGCCAGGCAAGATAAGAAAGACAAGGTAGGTGAGGTGTGTTTGAATTACAAAGCCAGTATGAAACTACACTCTAATTTCTTTCCCATTTGTCCCGATCAAAAATTTTTAAGATAATCAGTACACTTTTGTAAATGCTTCTAGGAGACTGACCAGACTTGTTTACATTGCCAATATTTGCCTTTCTCAAAAATTATTATGTAATCCTTAAAGGACTGTTGGTAACCAAAATGAATAAGACAAGCCATTCAATTATTCTTATTTATATTTTGACAGACAATGTCAGCTAGCATTCTGTTCACAAGTGCAGGTTTTGTGTGTGTTTTCAGTCTTCTATTTTGAAAAACTCCTACAATAAGTTAACTTCAGTTTTGAGGGCTATATTGTTTTGGAGAGTGTCTGTCTGTAATTCAACACTTCTGTACATTAAAAGAGAAGGGTACACCCTTTCTAAACTAATTCAGTTGTTACATTAAATAAATAAATAAATAAATAAATACTTAAAAAATGCTATATTTTATTAAACATGAAATAGAGGTCATAGAGATGTAGGAAAAGAGAAGAAGTTAATAGAAGTGAAGAACAGCCACTAGAGTGGGAAAACTGAAGTTCTCTAACCTTCAGGCAGCTGGTGGAGGTGGGAATGGAAGCCTTGGTTAGATAGCTACCCCTTTTTCTGTATAATCTAATAGTAAAACTTTCCATTAACATTTCCTTGAAGGGGAAGGAACAGTCATTGGTTATGCTAGGTTAATGAAACTGTCTGGAAAACTCTTCAGTCATGCTGCTATAGAGTTATTTATTTATTTTGTGTAGGACATGGTATTAATCCTGTAAGATAATTTGTTAATAGAAAACTGATATTTTCAAGTTGAACACCTACTTGGATGTTTTGGATCTGTGCTCCCTAATATCGAACTTAAATATTCCTTGTTGCAAATTAAGCTCATTATTACTTGTCCTACCTTCCCTGGGCATGGACAACAATTGATCACCGACCTTTGTATAAAAGCCCTCAACTTGTTTGAAGACTGTGATCAGGTCCCCCCTCAGTCTTCTTTTCTCCAGACTAAAAATGCCCAGTTTTTAACCTTTCCTCATCGGTCAAGGTTTCTAAATCTGTTATCATTTTGCTCTCCTGTGGATTCTCTCTCCAGTTTGTCCACATCTTTTCTAAAGTTAGCACCCAGAACCGTGCACAGTATTCCAGGTGAGACCTCACCAATGCCAAATAGAAAAGGACAGTTTTATCTCCTGAGTCATTGTAACGATGCTGGTTCTGGCAGGACCCAACTGAGAGTGCTGATTCAGGACCAGTTGCTTAAAACTGGGCAGTTACAGCCCAAGGCTGGGGTTTTTCCACCTCTAAGGCAAACCAAATCAGCCAGACAAAGAGGACTATGGTCTCACCCCACTGGCTAACCACAAGTCACACAAGCAATTCCCTTAGACACTCCAGTTTCCCAGTATCACCACCAGTGCCACTCATTATGGGGACAAATGGTTATGAAAACCAATACCCCAGTAAAAGAAAAAAGGTTCTCTTGATCCCAAAGGATCAAGCCCCAGACCCAGGTCAATATACAAATCAGATCTTGCCCACAAATCACGCTGTTGCCAATCCTTTAGAATCTAAAATCTAAAGATTTATTCATAAAAGGAAAAAGATATAGATGAGTTAGAATTGGTTAAATGGAATCAATTACATACAGTAATGGCAAAGTTCTTGGTTCAGGCTTGTAGCAGTGATAGAATAAACTGCAGGTTCAAATCAAGTCTCTGGAGTACATCCACAGCTGGGATGGGTCATTCAGTCTTTTGTGTAGAGCTTCCATTTGTAGCAAAGTCCCTCCAGAGGTAAGAAGCAGGACTGAAGACAAGGTGGAGATGAGGCATCAGCCTTTTATAGTCTTTTCCAGGTGTAAGAACACCTCTTTGTCCTTACTGTGGAAAATTACAGTAAAATGGAGTCTGGAGTCACATGGGCCAGTCCCTGCATACTTTGCTAAGTTACAAGGCATATCTCCCTTCTCTCCATGGGTCAGTTGTATAGCTGATGGTCCTTAATGGGCCATCAAGCAGGCTAGGCAGAGCTAACACCAACTTGTCTGGGATGTCACCCAGAAGCATAGCATAAGTTTGAAATACAGACAGTATAGAGCCAATATTCATAACTTCAACTACAAAATTGATACACACATATAGACAGCATAATCATAACCAGCAAACCATAACCTTGTCTTAGACACCTCATTTGACCCCCTTTATACAAGAGTTGGTGCCACTACAGGACTTTGGTTGCAACCATGTTCTATATGGTCCCAGATTGTCAATAACGTCACAGTCATACATACAGCACATCTTCCACCAGGAAGTAGGTTTGATACCAGTGCTGAGAACCTGAAGGAACCTCTCTAGCATCCTGTCCCTTCCACTCCACCTCCCCTCTGGCAACTACCTCTTCTCCCCCCTTCCTCCCCCTGGATGCCTACACTCTTCTTACATAGGAGAGAAGTTGTATACATAGTCTAAGAATCAAATCCCACAAGGTATTGGTGTTGCAGGTGTTTACCAGTCCTCAGAATTTAGTGCAATGTCACTAGAAAAACAAACCTGTATGACAGTGGTACTAGTATATAAAAGAGAAGATAATCAGAGCTGGGTTAAATTTTTGAAATTTTAATCAACTTTGTAATTAAAACAGTTGGGAATACTTGCCGTTTTGTCTCCTTTTCCTCTACTTGCTATCGAGGTAGACAAAGTTTTGAGGGTGGGAAGTTGTGGCTAAATTTTTTGGGGGGGGGGGTGAATTTTCCCTTTTTAATATCACCCCTAAGTAGGATATAATTCTTCTATATAGGCATGTAAATTAGTAAAATAAATAAATAAATGTTAAGTATTGTGATCATGTAACTAAAGAGTGTGTTTAGGTTTGATTTAAGACTGTGTACCATCTTGAGTGCTTCCTAATGCCAGTGCAATGTTTCAGAAATTATTAAATGCCATGCTTAACATTTAAAAAAAAATAGTTTCTAAATAATTTTGCCAATAGTAATGCATGTAAAAACTTTCTAAATTTGAAATATTTTGATTATGTAAGGAAGAAATTGGGAAGTTAAGTAATGGCAAATGTATTAAATATTGCAACTGCTTAAAATAAAATTAGCATTGCTAGTGGTAATATTGGAAGAAAAGCCA